ATGTATATTTTTAAAGATAAGAATATACAGGTTCGTCGAAAGAAATAAATTCTCCGAATTAGAACGAATGCGATTTGATCAGATGTAAGAAGACCAAACATTTTTAATTATAATTATCTTCAAAACTAAAACAATAAAATACCTTATAATAGTTCCGTAAGGTGATATTTTGCTAAAAATGTGACATCGTGTTTTATGAACTTTGTAAAGAATAATAAATAACTAAAGATAAAGTGATGTGGTTGGTGTGGCTGGGCCTAGTGCTTAACGATTCGTACACGACTGTTTGTATAATAAATGGCCGTCGTCGAAGAAGTTTGTTCGCCTACAAAGGTCTAATAATTATAGGATGCGCAGCGTGAATCTTCTCATATTTTATAAACTTATGTGATCGGGTAAATATGCGTAAGTTCACAATGTTTGCGTGGAATACGAGACGATTAACAGAACCCACTTGAACGAAACGCGCTATTAGTGGAAATAAAATGTAAATCAGTGCCATAAACAATTAATTTTCATTAATTTTCAAATACGTTACATTGTAATACATCACGTATAAAATACAAATAGAGAAAACATGAAAACAGATTTTTTTCATTTGTACTTCTGCACATATACGAACAATCTGACGTCTTTTTTGTACAGTCACGCGCATAATAATATAAGGAGTATACGTAAACGCGAAAATAATCGACTCCGCAAATAGTTAATGTTCAACGTTCAAAAATGATTTAAATATTTTTATTTTTGTTTATATTAATATATTTCCAAAAATATCTATTAAATTAAAAATGTATAGTTGATAAATATCCTATATAGTAATGTAACTGCATCAACGGTATCGTATGTTGTAGAATAAATGTATTATTATTGTATTCTTATATATATATGATATTTCTCCGTAGCATAAAGAATAGTTCCATACAAATTAATTAAAACTATTCTCTGTCTCTGTACCTATTGATCAAATATCGCGATGAAAAATGAAACCACGAAAAAGACTTTACGGCTTATTTAAATCTGTTTTAAGGTATATTATCACGGCCCTACGGTATCTAGATCGATCGGTAAACGGGACGTTGAATTAAAATAATGCGTCTAAATCACGGTATCCCGTGTGATATGGAGAACAATGACGATTATTAGAAATTTTAGATTATCATAATTATCATTATTATAACAAAGAAACGTCAAAAAAAAAAAAAAACAACGAATACTTATTAGATTTTTTTTTTTTGGTCATCAAACATAAAATTCTAAAATCTCATGGGTGTCGATCAGTTGAAATTTCGAATGTAGTTCACATGTTTAAAAGGTTAGCGACCCCAGATCCAACGGGTAAGAATCACGCGCGTATAGTATTGACTACGATTTTTTTTTACGACCGCCGAGATAGGCGCGTCACGAATTCACTGGATTCACTCGAGTTCAGCGCTTCGAGCTACAGCCGATAAACGCAACGTAGCGCCATCGTTCATCCTGTCGCGGACGACGGTGTGTCCCGTTCGGCGCCGAAAAGTGTTGACTTCCGGTGTTATGTTGATGTTTGATAAATGGGTTCTCGTTCGCGGAGTTAAGACGTTCGCGGGATCGCGATAAAAAGGCGGGTTTGTCGATCGATCGTCGGTAAACAAAACGACACTGCAGCCACTCATTGCGCGTGTACAAAGCGCGAATGATTTATTTTGATTAAATATCGAAAATGGCTTCGTAAGCATGTGAAACTCGCGTTGAACACGTCGGCGAACGGTTTTCAACTCGACGGAACACATTACCGACTCGAGTGCTGGTAAATCGAAGCGCTTTAGTTTTATAGGCCGTGTGACTGACGATAAGCCGAATGGCCTTAATAACGTCCTTGTGAGTTGGTGGGTAAGCGTGTTTGGAACATAAATAAATAATAAGCTATCGGGTTTCGGGAAATATTCTTAAATTTTTTTTTTTTTTAAATAAACATCTGCACTATGATTTATGATATGACCGTTCGATTTACATACAAACACACCGCAGTGGATATGTTACGCCGAGTTCGTGATATTGCTGATTTTATAAGATTCAAGTAGATTTAGAAATTCCTTTTCTCAATTAGAAAAAACGGGTTTCAGATTGAAATTATGATTTGTTGTGATATTCAAATAAAATTGTTAACACCGATAAAATAATTATTGCAAAAAGTTATGTAATCATGTATCAAAATAAATTAATAATATTTGAATGTTTAAGGCTTTCGATATCTACAGTATTAAGTATTATACGGAGAGAATTTATTTTATTTAAGGAATTTGTTGAAGTAAAATCGTATTTTATGTCCTTCTATATTTTTCTTGAAGATTAAACTTTTGTTTAAAAATATTTATTTACAGTCTTAGCACTGTTTTTATCGAATCAAAAGCAATAATATGTCAACTTTTCACTGAAACTATATTGAACTTTTGACCAATAAAGTATTAAATAAATCCGATGTTTATAGTTTTCTTTAAAAGCAATAAATAATTAAAAATTAATCACTTTAAAGCTTGGTTATCAAAATCTTTATAAAATTAGAAACAAACAGAATATTAAAAAATTGCAGCGTTACGTTTTATATTATAACCAAATAAAAAAATCTCAATTTTAAAATAAAACAATAATACCCGAAAATGAAATGAAGAGAAATAAAAAATTATCACCCTGAAGCAATCTGAAAATAGCATCAGTTTTGATCAAATAAAAGCATACCAAAAACATATATAGAATACTCCGTTTTTGTATTAAAAATATTTTCAATGCAGATTTAGGATTCAGTTTTACATAGAACTTTGAATAATAACTTTATAATATTATACATCATACATTATATATATACGTATAGATAAAATATTAGTTGTCACTTTTGAATTGGCACAAAAACAAATATAATATGTATTTCAAAATTATACGAGAACTCGAAGGAAAAATAAACAATATTTACGATATAAAAATGAACCATATATCATATAATAATATTAAATTACAATTACTACACACACATATATATATATATATAAAATAACGTATCGTATTTTAGCAGTCATAGTATTAAACTTGTATATTTCGATTCGTCCGATCTGATCTGTTCGAATCACTTCGATAATGATCAACAATTATTATTGGAACATAATAAAGATGTACAATACATACTTTGTGTACGCACACAATAATCGCAACAAGCAATGCCCCAGTATTACAATACGTTTCAAACGTATTGACGGAATCATTTACGTTTCGACCGTAGCACTCCACACGTCATAACACCTCGAGCGAAATTATCCGTTTCCTGACGGTTCCCGATTTAATTTATGCGTATCGAATCGCTAAACCATGGTCAGATAACAACACGCACCACGTGTTATGACGTACAACACACTCGTCGCCGGTGTATGTTTGTTTTGATCACGCCTGATCGGTCTATTTAATCGCGTTTGCCTACGAGCCGTGCCCACGACACGCGCGTGCACTGCAATCGCCCTCGGGCCGCGTTCAGGTTTCCGGTCCGATTCCGCGTTCAATTGTTCAGGTTTAGTTTAACCTGAAACCCGGTGGTTTTTAAACTTTTTTTTTGTTCGCGAAGCACTAAACTGATGGAATTAAAAAAAAAAAAAATCCACGGAGCCCAATGTTAAACCACAACTCGTAAGAAATCACCAATTGTGTTTGCTTCTCAATTTATTTGTTTGTACTTCGAATGCCGTGTAAATACAAATGTTTCGTCCGATCAAAGAACACGTTGCTAGTTTCGCCGAGAATCGTCAAAAAACACTGGAACCCGAATGGTTTGGTCAAATGTACAAGTCGATGGGCATGTCATACACAACTGTACACAGCCCGTAAAAATGAAACGATATTCAACCGTTCGAACATCTGGTGTAACGCGCAGGCGTGTACGCGGAGCCCTTAGATCAGTGTCACGGAGTCAAAGGAGACAGTTCGGGATCCGTTTAGTCCCGATCTACGTCTACGAGCCGGTAGTGATAAAAAGCAATACGTCGGCGGGCACCTACCCGCGGTGCGGACAACACTCTGTTAATTCGTGTAGTGTCCTCCGCCCACGGCCGACGACCTCGACGCGTCCGCCGCAATCAATAACCGTCGAACGCGCGCGCGGTGACGCGAAGGGACACGGCGAACAAAACGCGGCGAGCGCGAGGCATCGATGTATAAATCACTTGACCCAATAACGACTGGTTACGAACATGTTGCACGACGGGCACTTCGACGTGTCGGTACCTCGTACGCTCGGCGTACGTTAAACACCGTACTGAGCGCACACGTGCGCGTGTGTCGTATTCGTTTTTGATATTACCGGAGAAGATGAGAAAAATGTAATTTTACACGGAAACCAAGATCGAAAATGTCGTGCATGATGGATGGGCGCGTACCGAAACAGTGTTGGTACGATATCATTTGTTTAACGAGTGCCCGGAACGGATGGCGTGCGCTTTCAAACGGGCCACTGTGCCAGCGCGCGCTGGACGCGTACGCAAATCGTAACGGATTTCAAAACGCCGAAGTCGAAACCTTTCCGAGAACACAGTGCTCGTGTTAATGTTTCTCGATTTTTGTATTATGCGTACAAATCATTACAACCGACGACGACCCGGAACGAGGTCGTGTAATATAATTGAACTCGGTGCGCCCCGGCACGCACCATCCATGGCCGTTCGAGACCGACCGTAATCACCGTAATTACAAGCCGACAAGACCGTTTTCCCGATAATGGCCGCGGTGCCGTCGCGCTTCGGTCTTAGCAACTATTCACCGCGAGCGCACGCGGCACAGGGTGTCTCCGCCGAAAACCCGTTATTTCTTAGTAATATAATCGTAATCGTTGACTGCAATCGAACCGCGGTCGGTCACAAACGCCGCTTACAGCAGAACCTATCGGTGTTGCGCTCGTGTCGCGTGTGTACAACCGCCGCGGGCGATGTGCACCGGCCTACGAGTCCGACCGCGGGTCTACGAATGTTTCGCGGTTTACATCTTACCTGGTGATTTCTTCGACCAGCTTACAAGGATCGGCGGCGTAAAACTTCACGCCGAAATAAAACGTGAAGTTCTCGTTACCTGAAATGAAAAAAAAAAAAAACGTCAAATAACTGCTAGCCGTTAAACGTGTAATACGATGCGTATAGTGGTCGAGGTGGAGGCAAGAATGAATTACAAAAAAAGAGTACAAGACATAAGATCGATTATTACCAGAGCTGTGCGGGGACAATCAATCTCCAAAAACCCCGAATCAACGCGTTCGTATCGGCGCAAACGTTGTTTAAGAGTACTTTTATTTTTCCCCTTTTCCGGTGAACATTTTATATCGTAATGCAAACGTGCTAAGATTAATTTCCACGCGTTGATTTTGGCGCAGTGCCGTTCGAACCAAATGGGCTAGATATATCGCAAAAGCATTAATAAAAAATTATGGGTTCATTGAAATCCGAACCCTAATAATTGTGTTATCCGCATTATACACATTTCCCGTTAACCGTGTTAGCGTCGATTATACTATCGTATATAATAATAATAATAATAATAATGGTACATCGCGAGTTCGTTTTGCTGCGCGCAGGTACTAAATTTGTATTATGAGGGATATCGAAGTGGGCGGTGTAGGTGGTTCATAGAGCTACTCGTTTCTGCGGTCCTCGAGCGGGCAAGGGATCGCATCAGGACGGGAGAGGGGGGGGTCAATTATACGGTGTATCGAACTCCGTACCGGCGCGTTCCTTTTCCGTCCCGCGGGATTAACTTCCGGACTGATATATTACACGTACCGCACTGACTTCATCACACGCGCGCGCGCTTGGAATGGATTATGGGTGAAAAACGAAATCGCCCAGCCACGACGATGGACTGTTCGGATATCGTTCTGTGTACCTATTACCAGTGCTTGACTTGACGGGGGCACAGGGGGACAGCGTACCCCAACTAATTTTCAGAAATGTTAGCGTCCCTCTACTATTATTGCGTTATAATTATAACGCTTAACAAGTCTTGGGAACGCTATTTTCTATAAAGAAAGCAAGGGTCCCACCCACTTCTTTAATTTTGCCAATTCAAGCACCGTCTATTACGCGAAGACGTGTCCTCCCGCATGAGCGTGAAGTATGAAACCCCTGATCCGACAGTGGTGTTTTCGAGGAATCGCCCGTCGCCTAGAGTCACCTGGCGGGGCGGCCCGTACGCCCCGGGTGCGCGCGCGCGGACTCTTCGACAAGCTTCTCTCTTCACCGCGTTAGATGTATTGTTATTTCACGAACGCCGACGGCCGACGCGATTCACGACACAAAATCGATTACGATCACGTTTTACGACCACTCAAAATACGACCAGAAGTAATGCGGTGCGAATCGGTTTCTACGGGCGTTCGTCGTTAATAAAACTGATCGATTTACCTTTTCCCCGGCGCACGCGTCGTCCAAGTGCTGCACGACGCCTCTGGACGGCCGGGTTTCGGCTTGCCCAGAACGGTTTTCCGGCGCTATTGCATCACCATTGGACGGTAAGTGTTCGGTTCGTCGGTATCGAAGAGCTCGCGAAACACGCGCACACGGCGATACGAATATTTTTTCCAAAATCAAAAGTTTTTGTTTTTTTTTTTAATATTTCATGGTTAAATTTTTGTAGACTTTTTCCCCGCGTGTTGCGACGAGTCGAACAAAAAACGTCAGCGTCGGGACGGCTAAAAAACGTCAGGCGTAGGCAAACCAATAGCAATATTTGAACGAATCGGAAGGGCGAATGAAATTTATATTCACATAATTTAATCATTGGAGGTAAAAAACAAAAAAGGTAAATATCGATTTCGAGCACAGAGATTGTGTAGGATTATTTCGTTTCAAAATAATTCCACAATATATGACGAGAAGTCCACCGTTACAAGGGTTATTAGGTAATAAATCATAACGTTGGCGATTTTAATCGAAACGTTTTTACCGCCATTATAATACCACCCGGGGCTAGAGAGCCACAGAAATGATGACGGTTGGTGTTCGCACTAACAAATGTACAGGCACTAAGACTGAGAGCGGTTGTTATCTTTTTTTTTTTTAACAAGACGGAATATATTATGTATTTTTACCTCAAAGGAATTAACAATCAATTAATTACGAAAAAAATTGCTAACGTTTCGTTTACAATACAAAAATCAAAATTAGAATAAACCCACATAGTTTGGTTGAAATTAATTGTAATATCATTTAAATTGTTATAAGCTATTGTCAAGTTGGATTTTTAAAATATCATAGAATAATATGAAAATATATGAATGAAAAACTTTATTTTGTTTTATAAACATTGATGGTTAATTAAAACAATATTTGTCAAGTCTAAAGAAGTCCCTAAGTATTCCAAAAATGGGTTGTATAAACAAAAATTAAATTTTAACATTGATATTATATTCAGTGCCGTATTTTGACATTTTGCGCCCCGGCGCAAAAAAAAAATTGGCGCCCCTCTAAAAGGCCTATCTACAGAAAATATAGGAGATAGATCCTCATGAACCCTTTAGATATTCTAAAATCAATGCTATTTTTGTATAGTAGGTACGCCACCGCACGCCGCACGCGATAACAACAAATTTGGGAACTAATATTAGATATATTAATAATATTCTGGATCGCTGATAGCTATATTGCTATAAATACATTAATAATATATATTAATAAATTAAATACATTAACATTAATTTATGATACTGTTATAAAAAAAAAAAAAATAATAATAATAATAATTTTAAAAGTTCAATAATTCACTAGTAAACAAATTTCCGAACATAAAATTTTAGAACCCCCAAAAAACTGGCGACCAGGGCAGTTGTAGTCAGTGCCCCCCCCCCCCTAAATGTGGTCCTGATTATATCAGTATTATAGTGTATACTAAGAACCTTGCTCAATTAAAAGTTGTACAACAATATAATGTGAAACTTGTTCTAGACTTATTCATCTAGTTATAAAACGCAACTTTAAAACACGGTAACTAATATCAACAAACACGCGTAATCGGCAGTGTAACATTTGGAATTAACGATACGCTGTACAACATGTAATGAAAAAATATTTCGGAGAAAGAAGGGGATTTATGAGAACGTATTCGGATCGAATCAGTATCAAGTCTGGATTAAGGAGGCAAAGGGGGATCGTCCTCAGGACTCATGCGTTTAAAGAGCACAGTCTTCTCGTCTTAAAATTACTGATTATTTTCACTGTTTATAGTACCTACAAGAATATTTTTATTTTTTTACTGTTTAAACTTACGAAAGTTGCGGCTCATTACCCATCTACCATATCTACCACCATGGCCAAGATAGAGTAATTTGTCTAGATTCGTTTTATTATATATTTTTATTATTTTAAAGAATTGTTTTCGTTGGTGAGGGCCAACCACCATGTATTAACCCTAGACCCCTGAAAGTCTTAATCCGGATTTGATGGGAGATATCTAGAATTTATCAGTTTTCTAAAAAGTGAATAAAACTTAAAAACGGTTGAAGGGTTGATTTAGATTTTTTTTTTTTTATATATATTTTTCGTAATTTTTAAGTAATTTAAAGGTTTTTTCCTAAAAAACTATAATGTTGTTCACGAAGAAATTAAACGCCGTAATACACTATGGTACCATGTCAGCGTTAAGTATAAATGTAAATTTTTCGCTTAGCTTTATATAGTACGTTTTAAATATTGTATAACTACCAAGTGTGGATTTGAAATGTTTGCTTAACTGGCTAGGGATAATAAACTGATTTCTCAACAGATTCAAACACACATTCGTACTGCTGAAAAGGGTCGCAGTTTGGTCGGGTTAGGTTATTTATGCAACTACAATTATGGCCTTAACGTGTTTGTATGTGTGTGTGTGTGTGTGTGTGTGTGTGTGTGTGTGTGTGTGTGTGTATGTGTATCTACGGGGTTAATCCTATTAATAAGCCTTGCGAAGTGTCCCCCAACCTCCGGGAGAATTGCATACACACGGTATATACGTACAGATATCCGATTTAACGTTTTGTGCCTACCTCTCCCTAACCCGTGGTTGTAAATAGTGGTTAAGACCACAGTTACAACTCCTATCGCCACGACGACCGAGAACGTGGTTAAATGTACCTGTGCACACCGCAACAACGTCGGAAGACGTTTGGTCGGAAACGTTTACAACTATGAATTCGCATTGTGGAGTATAACAATGGTGTGTGTAGTATTAAATTATATGCAGCTTATTTATATATACGTACCCTTCATTTGTTTGTTCATTTTCTTGGATAAATCCAACCAGTGCTGAAACAGATAACAAAAAAATATTTACTACCGATTGAGGTCACATAGTGTTATTATTTACTACGTAATATATAGGTACACACGCGCAGTGTAAACGATTATTTGTTAAATTTAATGATTTTTAACGATTCTAAATGAGATTTGCGCACAATTATGTATCTCAGCGGAAGTTCACGTTTAATCTAAAACACAACGTTGCTTTTCTGCCATCTATCGTCCGGTTTTTCTTTTTTTATTCGAACTTAATTAAAGAAAAAAAACAGTGCAAACGAGCTTGATAAAAAAAAACCGGATCTAAGGAAATCCATCCTTATGGTTATTAAAATAAGGTGATCGCATAATCAAAAATGTTATCAAATAGCTAGTGAAGTATCAAAATAATATTAGAATACAAAATGTTTATCCTAAAGAAAAATATTACGTATCATTATTTACAACGATATCGAAAAAATGTCAAACTATGCATATAAACGTCAAAAAATTGATCGTCAGCGATAGTGTATCCACTTGTCATAAGGGATTACGATAGGATTTACTACATGTAATCATATTATACTATTCATCATGTATACGTCTAATATTTTCTTATTGATCTATTAGTTATAGGTTACTGAAGCCAGGTGATTCTACGCATTTCGGTCACTTAGTAACCAATCGAACTGTGTAGCTGAATATACAAAATAAGACGAGTAAACGGTTAAAAGTAAACAGTTAGAAATAATATATGAATGAAAAAATCATAAAATCTGCTTAATGCAACCGTATAGTATTAAAGTATTCGAGATATTGTAATTATTATTCTCACGGTTTGATTTTGCGAGTCCAAATAACGGAGGCCGAAATATGCTGTTTCCAAAAGGCTCAAATGCCTTACGACCACATCGAAAACTTCTTGACCCGTGCTCGATCCCTAAAAAAAAATCAATACAGTACAAATTAAACCGATGTCAAATAATGTATAATTATTTAATAATTATATATTATTTTATTATTATTATTAATATATTATGAAATAATGTAATAATGCATAATTTCAGTTATAAAAAACATACACCATTATTAAAATAGCAACACATGATGATCATCTGTGTGCCATAAATCACATACACAAAGCAAATAGGTTAGAGAATTATGTGGTCTGTTGATGTGTATTTTGTGTACGTAATTTACCGTGAAAATGTTTTTTTTCATTTGAAATAACACTTTTTTATAACTGTACCGATTGAACAAAGCAATATAGATTTTGCAAAGTATATTATAACTTAAAAACAAATAATATGCGTGAATATAATTCCAAATTATGTAAAAATTGATTTCTGTAAACTGAACTTTTAAGAAATATATTTATAATTAGTTTTATCGTTGGACGAAAAAAAAAAGAAAAAAAGAAGAATGAGTAAGTTATGTAATATGAAGAAATACTGAAAACCTATCCGGAATTTAACTTTTTGATACTTGAGTTTTACTAAACTATGTAAAATAATTATTTTATTTGGATTACCAGGTTAACCGCTTCATCATTTTCGGTATACTTCTCAAAGAGCTTCGCGCCCATTATTAGTACACTTCGTTTTTGCCAATACATTTTTATACTAGAGTTTTTGTTAAAAATTGTTATGTATACCTAATAAATTACGTATAAGTATAATTTAAACAAAGGAAAAGAGAGAGCAAAGATATTTTCAACCTTATTCAGACACATCAAGCATATTAACTCTTTTGTATTAATTTAATAGGCAAATGAATCATGTACCGAAAATGGTACGCGTAGCGGTTAACCTGTTGAATAACAATCAAATATTATCATTCAATCATTATAATCAATAATTAGAGCAATGTATTGATATTATATTTAATGAATTGTTTCAAGTAGTGAAACATACAACCTTCCATAAGATGAAAATAATTTCTAAGTTCGAGTGCGTTGGCGCGTATAGCTTCCCACAACAAACTAAACTAGTCAGACACAATAAGACTGTAATACATTTTTATGGTTAACCGTATGATTTATCGAGCGATAAATGATGTAATATATTAATGGTATATTTTCACAATTCGTTCTTTACGTACATTGATAATTGATGATTTAACAAAAACTTACTAATGTTCTGAGCTTTTAACAAAATATTGTCAGACTTTAAGTGAAACTAAAGAGAAATTCAATATATATTTTTTTTTCCACACAATACCGTAAGTCTCAAAAAAAAAAATAAAAATAAAACTCTAAAGTAACCTGCTATAGGGTCGGTGATTTTTAAGTAACATAAAAATCACCGATGTGACTTCCATAAAACTGTTCATCGAGTAGTTTTTCTTAATGTCGTGTAGTATAAAAAATGAGCTAGACGGTCATAAAAATGCGATATGATCTCGGTAATAAAAGTTTCAAGTGCGAACTATAGTTCTCCCATAAAGATCCTCCGAGTGAGTATAATTCGTTTTGTATTTCGTTTTTGTTCGTTTTCGCATTTTGAAGTTTAAAAATGAGATGTAATTGAACTAATGAATATTCTCTGATCAGGAGCCATACATACATTTTTAAATAAATATAAATTAATCTTAAAATTTGTGGCATTAAAAAAAATTCGTATATAATAATATAATAAAACTGTCACAAAAAATCTATTTTTTTTTTAATTAAGTGAATATTCTTTATGGTAATATACAAAAAAGTAAATTTCAATAACACATTACAATAAAGTATTGTCATTATTTAATAAATATTTTTTTACAAAATAATTTGTAAAAAATTAAATATATTGTTAGTTAACTTATTTTTGTTCCATAATACAATATAATTATATGTACTCAATTTTAAATAAGAATGATAAGAATTTAAATTGTAATGGATCACTAATTAGGTAAATTGATGACTTTATTAACCAACTATGAAAAAAAGTTAAACATTCATAATTTCTTCGAATTAATTAATAAAATGTAAATATATAGTCAGCGTAGAAAAGTTATTTATATTTTTTTCATTTATAAAACAATTTCAGATTAAAAACAATTTTATATTAAAAACTATGGTATTTGTCAATTGATGTAAAATTATTCAAAAGCCTATTCAGTATAAAGTTTCTGATAATTTATGGATTAAAGTTAAAGTAAAAAAAGTTATTAAAAACAAAATAAAAGTAAATACCAAAAAACTCTTCATTTAAATGAGTAATACACCGTGTTTTTCTCTAAATTTGTATTGCAAAGGTACAACCTGCCGATTTTCCCATCATTTCTGGGTATATGAAATCGATATTCACATGAATAATAATAACGGGCCAAATGGATGGAATCAATTTTCTACCCCTGCCTCTCAGTTTCGACCTCGTTTCCCCTCTATATATTTTCTGTCTGTCTACATTTCTTTACCTGTCTCTCTCTCTCTCTCTTGCTCCCTATCTTTCTTATTCTCTCGAACGATCTATTTTCAAGTCATCGTTTTGACTATAAAAATATATATACACACACAAAGCGATACAAGAACATGGCAAATGGATCCAAGTGTTCACGAAAAAACAAAAAAAGATAGGTATACCATGAAGAAAAAGGTAAAAAAAATTGTTACACTCATATTTATGCACCCGGAAAATAGACCCTTCACACACACACACACACACACACACACACACACACACACAC